TGGAGATGTAAAATATATCGCTTTAGATTTAAAGTTAAGCTCTGAAAATGTTTGTCAAGTCCAGCGCTTGAGATGCAAAAGTCAGCGCTGGAGACTACAAGACTTTCGAAAACTATCTGTGTGAGACCACAGGGCTCCGTATATATACTGTACCGATGTATGCATTGGTAATTTAAAAATAATACATTATGCTATCGCATAATATTGTTTTTTTTTTCTTTTTGATATTTCTCTTTGATAGTACAGAGATGCAATAACAAAAAAGGTACAATAATCTAAATACATGTGCATAACATACAAAGAATTGTACATAGATAACAGATATGAACAGTGTACGAAAAGTAAAAAGGGGATTACAAAACAAGATAGGAGGACAAACACAAGTATAAGCATATTTCATATTTACTGTATGTGCATAGTTTCTTTGCATTTTCTGGATATTAGTTCTTGAAATGTAATCATATTATGTCTGTGAGTAAAATACGTACTGAAATACTGTTAACGTTTCTCGGTTACACACTTGCAATAAAAAATAAGTGATATTCATCACCAACTTGTCTTTTAGTACATTAACTACAAAATCGATTTTGTCTTTCTGTGTTCTGCCATCCTCATAATTTTATTTGCGGTTTTGTATTTATTGTTCTGAATTAAATATCCCTCAAAATCCAATGTTGTCTTGGTAATCTTATGATTTGTTGCTTCTGGAGAGGTTTATTTGACAAATCATCATTTCTGAAGAAATTGCATAAATAAGATATTGATCTAGTTCGCCATATACCATTAAGTTTTGGGGTCGAGGTTTTCAGGTTTGGAATAGAATAGGGAATGGAGACGGGGAATGTGTCAAAGAGACAAAAACCCGACCAAAGAGCAGAAAACAGTCCATGGCCACCAATGGGTCTTCAACACAGGAAGAAAATTTCGGATTTTGCAGAATTTCAAATGAAAATTTTCTCAAATGTCATCATGATCAAATCCCATACTTCGCATCAAAATAAAAATATACTTCATCTGGCCATTTTATCAAAATAAATTCATCGGACATTTTATGAAAAGATGGTATACTCATCCAATTTAGATAAATTTCACTTTGCTATACTGAAATTATTTATTATTGTAATTCTACAAATTTCACATAGGAATAATTGTGATATAACTATTTATACAAAATAACTTGTTTTTTGCACTTTACATTATCAATTCAAAGTTATGACCCGTAAATTATGCTCATTTGTGTTGAAATATCAATGTTGATTTTTTCAAAACAGTTTTACCAATGATAACTTGGAACCGAACCCATGATCCAGATTTTTTGGGTCTAGGGATTCAATATTCACTTTGGCATATTTTTGTCAAAGAAAATTTTTGATCGTAGGTTGCAGCCACGATTATCCTGAAGGTTTTATGTCCAAAAATGAACAACATTTTTGTTTATTTAATCAAAGCCAAAATGCACTATATTTTGGAGCCTTTATTGTGCTCTTATGAAACCATTTGTTTTATTTAGCATTAAGGCATTTTGATTAGATTCATTGTACCTTTGATAAAATATTATCAAGTTGAATTCAGTGCAATATTGTGGGTCAACTAGGTCCTTATAAATCAAACAGAGACATTAAGTGAACACACAAAAATCAGACAAAATTCAATCTTGTTGGGATTGGATTTGTTTTATTCGTGTATTTATCAAACTTGTATCTAGAGAGGAGAAACTAACTGACAATTGAAGTATTTTAAATGAGTTACGCTCTCTAAGTACAAGGAAGGATATTATTATTATTATTATTATTATTCCAGAAATCACCATCCTCGGTATAAATAATGTGTATGCTTTAATTAAAAAAGTCAAGAAAACACCAATTTTGAACTAAACTGGGAGGGCCTTACATGTACAAGCCTTAATTTTATTCTATTTTATCGTGTTACGTTTGAAGTAGTTTTAACTATTCATATTTATATATTAAAAGTTATGGGTATTTTTTTCATGAAATCGTAAAACACGCAAAACGGCAAATCGAGAAAAACGCGAAGACCACGCAAAAAGCGAAAGTGATTAGCGAAAACAGGAAGTGAAACCATTTTGCGTTTTCGACATATGAAACATAATAGTTGAAAACCCGGCCAACATACAACATGTCAAAAACTATCAAAATCGCAGTTTTTACACTTTTTATTTTGTCATATGTTTTGAAATGAGCCATACTATTGTAAGAACCTTAAAATATATACAAGAATATGTGAATTTTGAAAAAAAAGAAGACTTTTTGGCCCTCGTGTGTAAAATAATCAGGGAAATTTGACGGTTTTCTTTGTTTTTATATTGGTTGCATACCAACATTTTAATGAATATATTTCAATTGTCAATATTGATACCAGCTATATTTGCACACTACTGCTCAAGTGTTAAGCTAAACGATTCCATTTTTAAATAAATTTTGCAAATTAAAGTAAGCTGTCAAACTACATATATTGCAGGATATTCATAGTTCTGTTATTCTATTTAAAGCGTTCAAACTCTCTCTCTCTCTCTCTCTCTCTCTCTCTCTCTCAAAGAGTCAAAAGTGAACTTCAATTTCCTAGACAGAGATCTACGCTTTAGGGATAATATAGGAGTGATTTATTAAATACAGCACATTACCAATAAATTATAAGCTTATCACACTCTGTGTTTTAATTATAATCAGTGTGTCTGACATGTTTGTTAATCACGCGGATGATGATTACCTGGAGCGTGGACAGGTATTATGTCAGGTGAGAAAACTAACTGGTCTATTGATACCAGTCTTGGGAGGTATAATGATTACTTTAACAGTTTGATGTAAAGGTCAGCCAATACGATTGTTATTAGAGATTATATTCAATTAAAGCGACCCGTATATTGAAGATTTGTGACATTACTTTGTACCTAAACTATTAGACTGTCGTTTTCATATAGATTAACAGTTATTAATTAGGCAAATCAGATTTAGAATAAACATTATATAAACTTTCTTAACAAGCACGTTCCTTATGTGGACTGTCTAACGTAAAACAAATCTTTCCAATATTAATACCGGTGATCTGTTGCACATAGTTTTCCATTATCCCACAAATACTCTATGCAGTCTGATTTTCCAGACGTTTTATCAGATGGACTTGCTTACTGGTATAATTGGTCACTGTCCTGAATAAATATATTTTTATTCTACTTAAAGGGCCCACGATGAGCAAAGTAATTTATTAAAATTATTTTTTTATAATTTAGATACACAAATAATTTTGACAATCATATAAAAATATGGATAAAATCTACTTATTTTATTATCTTACGACACAGTCAGATAAAAGCAACAAGTATATGTGTAAAAGAGCATTAATACAACAGATTGTATAAATTGTATAGATTGTTGAGTTCAAAACATTTATAAATATATGTTTCAATAATTTTCAATATCTCTGGATTTTCTTGAATAAAAAGTCAATTGAACTTAGCACTTGGAAATTTTTACAACTTATCAAAATTTTATAACATAACTCTTTTCTATAAGAAGGAATATTTGTAACTGGACGTAAGCAAATTGACAGTTTATAAACCAATCTTGACAGGTTAATATTGGCCTACAAAACGACATTGAAAATTTAGCATAGAGAGCTTGAAGGACAAAACAAGTGGAAATATCTAATGAAAACACAATCATGACTTTGGTTTGTTTTTTTTGTATTTTCATTTCATTGTGATGTCATAATTATGCGCTTCGACCAAGAAATGCTTAAATGATTGATTACGGTGTAAATTAACCTTGCTTCCTTAAGACTACATTCGCCTCAAAGTATTCCTTAGGATCTTTTAACACTATCTAAAACATATATTTTTTTAAATGTCGTAAATTTATTTATTTATTTGTTTCCATAATTTAAATGAACAACATGTAAATGTATTTATGGATATTTTCTAGAATTGTAGTCCCATTCTCAACGTATATATATTAACCAAAAAACCTTATATCAGTAAAATAATTGACAAACAAATGAATTCAATTGAAATTATGTGAAACTTATCATATCTGTATAATGAAGCAGATTTCCATTCAACGTTTAAACATCTAAATGTTGGATTTTTGTACAAATATTTATTTGTTTAATCAAGAGTATACCGCTGCTTTATCTAATAATGGCTTAAAATTTTGTTAACCCGAAAACAGGTGAAGATATTACATATGTCACGAAAAAGATTTAATAATTTGATTAATTAAAATCATCGTCTTTTTACTTGTTACATTTCATCTATTTTTAGTTTGAACATCGTGGTAAATTATTCATTCTTTGAATCAGACTTTGTTAATCATTTACCCTTACTTTAAGTTTAATTCTAATTTAGGTCTAGTTATCAAAAAGTAGAGAATAATACATAAAACTAATATCATGCTGTAAGATATGCATGCATGCACCAAGAACGTAATTATGCAAGCAACGCGTACAAAATAGTTAGCGTCTCTTATTTGTCAAACTAAACGTTTCAATTTAATTTTAGTTCGAATAAAAGCGGCTGCATACATTTTAATCTTATTAACTTCTTTAAGAAAAAGAAACTTCAAGCCACGGCTTTCTTTTTGACAAAATTAATGGCATCTTTTATCAGTGAGGACCATCTCAATGGGACCTCCATTTCTGTTTTTATGACGTAATAAAAGCACGCGACTTCTGATTAAAAATAGGCAATGTTTACATAACAAAAATTTATTGAAATCTTATTACTTGTTAATGGTTAAAACTTCACAAGATGTGTCATTCAAATTTACTTGTTGAATAAAGCTGCAAGAACACCCTTGATTTTGTAATGCTGCCTTGTCAACTATTTATCGTGTTCATTGGAGTGTTAAGGGCACGCGACAATTCGTGAATAACTTTACCAAACTGTGATAACTACAATGTAGGTGGGGCTTACGTATCTTTGTCGCGTGGAGGTATAAAAATAAACTTACCTTACACACATTCAAACTTTATCCATAAATTTAGAAATAAGCGTTCCTCATCAGATAAATAAAAAAAACTGCACGCGAGTAATACCAGACGTCTTAAAATAGTCCAAATCAAAAATGGAAGGAGAAGGAATGATGCATGTATTTTCAGGGATGACCAGCATTGATGGAAACATTTTCCAAACTTTTCTAACGGAGAGACCTTCATGCATGTATTCTTCGTCACCAGAATCTTCACCTGAATATTTCCATCAACCAAAATATTCCAAAGATGTATTATGCAAACGTAGACTGGATTTTAATCACAATAACGAGAACTATTTGGGACTCAACCAGAAGCCAACTACTGGAGGAGTAGCGAGACGTAACGAGAGGGAAAGAAATCGCGTTAAGTTAATTAATATGACCTTCTCAACTTTGCGAGACCATATTCCAAGTGACTGTAAAATAGGCAAATCTAAAAAGATGAGTAAGGTTGATACTCTGAAAGCTGCCATAGACTATATTAGACATTTACAAGATTTAGTAGACGAACATGATGCTGTAAGTGCAGTGCTGGATAAGAATTATGTTCCCAAACAGTGTACCGTTCCCATCTCACCGTCCGTACACTCACCGTCACCAAGTTCCTGTTCTGAGGCTCAAGAACTTAGTAATGAAGACGAAGAATTGTTAGATTTCACCACCTGGTTCTGATGTAATGGACAATGCAGGTTTGTAGGCTTTTATTTTTGCAGTTAATATGAATGAATAAAGACGTCGGTGCTAAAAGGTAAAGCGACAACATCCGAATAACACTGTCAAACTAAAAACGCCATTTATTTGCATATATGCATAATGGTCAAATTTGTGGTTTTTTTCTGTGATATTGAAAATATCAGCTTCTTTTTATTAAAAGCGACGTTGTAAAAGCCGTAAGATCTATGGACATTCTCTTCGTTATCATCTTGCATTGGTAAACTTGGGAACCTTTTTTTGCCGTATATCGTATAAATCATGAAACGTTCATTCTAGTAGTACTCGTTAGCATGTAAACTACATGTCTTTTTTATAATACTTAAACTTTAATCATTAAGGACGTGCTAAAATTATAAGTTTGGTATATGTCTATGTTATATTAGTTTCTTTGGTTGATATTATAAATTAGTTATTTATAAGGCACATTTGATACATGGGTTAACTATAAGTTGATACGACAATAGAATAGCGACAAATACAGAAACTAAAGGGTATGCAATAATTGCAATTTAACTTCCACATCAGTATAGGTGATTGATGGATAGTCGTCTCATTGAAAGTCATACCACATCTTCTTCTTTTTTATATTAACTGAGTTAGTCACTTCTAATGTACTAGATAAAAAAAACAATAATATCCTCAACTGAGATTACTTGTAGTGACGTCTACACTCTGCTGGCTGAATTTGTTTTATAGGAAAAGTCCTTAATAATGAATAATCTTTTTTCCTATCATTGTTAATAGTTGTTTGTATATCAATTATGCACCTCTTTCCCTGTGACATGTTTTATATCTTTAGTAGTTCTAGTGGCTCTTCAGATCGGAAAATAAAGGATTTGATTTATACTTGTACGGGATAACAGGTCGCGCGAAAATTATAAATTTGGTTAAGTTCATGTTTTACATTAATTATTTTTTGGTCGGTATAGTCAGTTAGTAATTCATAAACACACTTTGTCATTGTTACCAAGTTAGTAATTTAAAAGTACACTTTGTCATTGTATACAAGTTAGTAATTTATAAGCACACTTTGTCATTGTTACCAATTTAGTAATTTAAAAGTTCACTTTGTCATTGTATACAAGTTAGTAATTTAAAAGCACACTTTGTCATTGTATTATACAAGTTAGTAATTTAAAAGCACACTTTGTCATTGTATTATACAAGTTAGTAAGTTATAAGCACACTTTGTCAATGTATACAAGTTAGTAATTTATAAGCACACATTGGCATTGTATACAACATTTCATTAAGTAACTGACAATTGATAACTTATTGTCCAACAATTCTTTGATGTGTTCGTTACACGAATAACTTTTCAATACGCGCGAAATTCTGATACTCTATTAACTAACTATTACAAGATACAAACGCAACCAAGAAAACCGCAAATATCCGCTTTCAATCAATACTGTCATTTTAAGCTTTTGAAATGGTATCTAATTTGTCTAATTTAGGACAATTCTTTCACGTTTTGTATATAGGTGAAAAGTTCGATGATTAGGTATCTGAAATAAGGTGATAATTTGTCGCGTGCTCTTCTTTAATATCAGTTTTGATACTGTATATCAATTAGAGATATTATTTATAAGATAAAAACTTTGATGAACTATCTGAAATGAAACATTTTATAGTACATATATCTCATCATTATCTCAAAGTCAACACATTAATTGTATTTACGTTCGATAACATTCAGAAGCCAAGAAAAGAGCAAACGATGTCATATTGTTAGTTTCTCATACACCTCACATAGTCTAAAATACTAATCAGGATTTCGGAGAAATTTCTTTTTTCTTTTTCCCTCTTTTTATATATAAAACAAAAAGTAAATTGAAAAATGGGAGAGATACAAATAGGGGGATCCATAAGTCGAAGAAAACAGGCATCACCCTGGCCAAAATTAGTTTCTTGCGGTCGGACTTATTTTTTCTATTGACATAAATTACAAGCATGCAAACAAACGCATATGGATTTTGCAATTGGATGCCCAGGAAAAAACATTAAAATTAAACACAGCAAAAACGACTTTCCAATACTTCTTATTTCATGTACATGTATGTACAATCGTATAGATTTTGGTGTAAGTCGTTTTATTATGATGATATTAAGAATCTTTCACAAACATTGCGGGCATATCCTATCATATATGTCATGGTATCAAATAAAACAAAAATGTTTACTTTGATATATACACATATATATATATATATATCTTTTATGCACACATAGATTGGTAAAACAAAGGTTTATGGTTATGCAGAACATGTTAACATTTAATCTTAACTTTGTTTTTAGTTGGACAGTTCCAGTTAAAGAGTTACGTGTCATAACTTCGATCTAATCGATCATAAATAACCGTAAAACGGTCGACCAGTTCATTACATTGTACATTATGGTGTATTTACTGTAATATTTTAAGCTTGATTTCAAATTATCGTCAAAGGTTTTAAACTTTACGTAATGTGTGTGTCTTCTTTTTTCAGGAGTTTGCTTCCAGACTCGTGCCATCTGTCAGATAAAAATCACGCCCACATTGGCATCGACCACAGGCAGCGGAGTGCCTCAACCAATCGAATCGTACCAAACGCACTTGTTGTGTTGTTGACATAAAAGATCACTAATGACATTAGATATAACAAATGTCAATCTCATTTGCCAGGTGGCTTTTAAGAATTATGACATGAATGCAAAGATTTGTTGACATTATTCGTTTTAAAGTGCTTTTTTAAGAGACGCCAGATTTGTTGTCTGAAAAGATAAGACGTTATTATTTATTGTTAACTGATTATATTTATTTATTTAATTTATTTTTTATTGTAAATAATCAAAATTAATAAATGTGCAATAATTAAAAAATAAAATATGTACTCTAAAATTTCTATATCTTGCTTAGATATTTTGTGTGCAATCTTAAATTAAACATCCCGACAGGCTTTGTACCTTAAGCTTGCTTTCAGGAACTGCGAGCTTTGTACCTTAAGCTTGCTTTCAGTAACTGCGAGCTTTGTACCTTTAGCTTGCTTTCATTAACTGCGAGCTTTGTACCTTAAACTTGCTTTCAGTAACTGTAAGCTTTCATTGAATTTTTGTCTTTAATACCATTATCATGGGGTAAATTACTGATTGTGCTTCTGCCAAGTCAGGAGCCTGTAATTCAGTGGTTGTCTTTGGTTGCTGTATATCATATTTGTTTTTCGTTTATTGTTTTGTCATGAATCAGGATTTTGGGGGTTGTATTCATTTGCGGTGTTTCACATTTTGTTATGTCTGGGCCTTTTATAGCTGACTATATCTCTGACTGTTTATGATTTCTTTACACTAAATTTATTTGATGTGTACTGATTGATATTTTAATCTTAGAAACTTGATTTGTCTTAATAGATGATATTGGCTTTGAACTAGTTTTTGGTAACTGCGAGAACTCGGGGATCTGAATTTTGTGTCTTTTATTTTTGTCAGTTGATTTTTTGCTTTGTATCGATTTGACGAGTTACTAGTAAGCCCTTCTGAACTGATTTGTATTGTTCGTTCTTATATTTTGTTTTTTACACAACTGTCCCAAGTAGAGGGAAGGTTGGACGCCGTCAAAAGTGTTTAACCACGCCACATTCTATATGTGCTTGTCCCAATTCAGGAGCATGCAATTGAGCACGTAGATGTCGTTTTTTGCGGTCTATCATATTTTTTTTGTTTTTGTTTATTGTTTTGCACAGTTTATTTTTCCGCTGTGTTGTTGCACCACTGTGTCCTAGTGTAGGAGTGGGTTTGGTGCCCGATAACATACCAGATCTCCTTATTTTTATTGAAGTGCATACTATTCGTTTGTACCTTTTGATTAGACAATGATCGAGACTAAAGGTAAGGGGAGGTATATGACCTACAACAAACTATTGTGACCCGGCCTCGTATTCATCCACTGTCCCAACGAACCACGTCGGTGATGACCGCGCCTCGTATTCATGCACTGTCCTAAGGAACTGCGTCGGTGGTGCACCAGCCTCGTATTCATGCACTGTCCCAATGAACCCCGTCTGTGGTGACCCCGCCTCATATTTATGCACTGTCCTAAGGAACTGAGTCGATGGTGACCCCGCCTCGTATTCATGCACTGCCCCAAGTAACCACGTCGGTGGTGACCCCGCCTCGTATTCATGCACTGTTCTAAGGAACAATGTCAGTGATGAACCCGCCTCGTATTCATGCACTGTCCCAACTTGGCAAGGAACCACGTCGGTGGTGACCCCGCCTCATATTTATGCACTGTCCTAAGGAACCACGTCGGTGGTGACCCTGCCTCGTATTCATGCACTGTCCTAAGGAACTGCGTCGGTGGTGAACCCGCCTCGTATTCATGAACTGTCCTAAGGAACAACGTCGGTGGTGACCCCGCCTCGTATTTATGCACTGTCCCAATGAACCACATCGGTGGTGACCCCGACTCGAATTAATGCACTGTCTCGAGGAACCACGTCGGTGACGATCCCGCCTTGTATTCATGCACTGTCCCAAGGTACCACGTCTGTGATGAACCCACCTCGTATTCATGCACTGTCACAAGGACTCATGTCGGTGGTGACCCCGCCTCGTATTAATGCACTATCCTAAGGAGCCACGTTGGTGGTGACCTCGCCTCGTATTCATGCACTGACCTAATGAACCACGTCGGTGATGACCCCGCCTCGTATTCATGCACTGTCCCTAGTAACCACGTCGGTGGTTACCCCGCCTCGTATTCATGCACTGTCCTAATGAACAATGTCAGTGATGAACCCGCCTCGTATTCATGCACTGTCCCAAGGAACCACGCCGGTGTTGACCCTGCCTTGTATTCATGAATTGTCCCAATGAAGCACGTCTGTGGTGACTACGCCTCGTATTCATGCACTGTTACAAGGAACCCTGTCGGTGGTGACCCAACCTCGTATTCATGCACTGTCATAAGGAATCACGGCGGTGGTGAACCCGCCTCGTATTCATGCACTGTCCCAAGGAACTGTGTCGGTGGTGAACCCGCCTCGTATTTAAGCACTGTCCCAAGGAACCACGTTAGTGGTGACCCCGCCTCGTATTAATGCACTGTCCCAAGGAACCACGTCGGTGTTGACCCCGCCTCGTATTCATGCGCTGTCCCAATGAACCACATCTGGGGTGACCACGCCTTGTATTCATGAACTGTCCTAAGGAATCACGGCGGTGGTGAACCCGCCTCGTATTCATGAATTGTCCCAAGGAACAGCGTCGGTGATTGTGTCTAGAATACTAGTATATTATTTCGGCGGCCCTGACGATAATCGAGACTAGTTGAACTGGATTCTCGAACCTTCACACAAATCAATGAACACATACTTAAAAGCACTGCTGTGAACTTAATTTGTTTGCATCTTTGTCCTTACGTGTTTTTGGTTGATATATGTCTTATATATGCCATCGGTCCACATCTCATTACAGTATGTTATAAAAATACTCATTAAATTTTGGTGTTTTCCAATGATAATTACTTTCGTTAGTTATCAATATTCATGATGAGCCAACCAAATGGTTGTAAATAGAAATGTAGGGGTAAACGTCAATGAACAGGAACCCTGAAGTTTTCACAAATCTTTGTTATTATAATGAAAAGCCTTTCATCTGTTAAGATTTTTCGGCTTCCATTGTTGTTGTATTGTGAATAGATTTGTAGTTCATCAATATATGACTTACCGCCGGAGTTTAACATCACAGGTGACAGTTTAACATCGTCCTAGTACAATAGAAACTCTGAACTATTTCCAGGCTCCAAAGTTCGAGCTTATTTTTTGAATGGTTCGTGTTGATAAATGTTAAGCAACCTGTGTGTGGTGATTCGCGAACTAAATTCTGGCAATCTAATTAAAATTCAGATCTATCGTAACTTGCGTCGAAAAGCATCTGAGGATATCGAGAGATCATCATTTTAATCAGATTGAAATTCTGGTTATGCTTGCCTTTTTTTCTTCCTCCATGGAGTTGTTGTGTCTTTCTTTCTCCATGGAGTTGTCTTTCTTTCTCCATTGAGTTGTCTTTCTTCGAATTTCGATTTTTTATTGATACTTTAGTTATTTTTATTTGTGTCCGGTCAAGATTTATCTGGTTATGAAATGCTGTATCCTATTCAAAGCTTATTAATTATGTTGCATTCTGCCTGTCTTCATTATGCGCCCGTTTCTGATTTTATTTGTTATGATATGTTGTATCCCGGCCATATACTTCTGGAAGGAACTGTCGTCATATTCGGATAAGCATATTTTATTCATTTTCTATTATATTTTGATTTTTTTCAAGATTATGTTCATTATTTTTAGCAAGGTATTTTAGTAATCAACCTTTTTATCACAGTCATTTCGAGTTCAACCTTATATATTTGGTAAGCATTGATTCTAGTGTCATTACAATCAATTAACATTTTTAACCACAATCACACCTCATAAAAGAAATGAAAAATTCAGGAATCCTCATAAAGCAGGCTTTTTACGTTTCCTATTATATATTTTGCGAAGATTAATTTTTGTGGTTTCCCACCGGATATGCGGTAAATGCACGAGGCAACAGCAAACGGAGTGTACGTGCTATATCGGAGTGGTTTAAAATTCTTGCAAACGTCAATCTGGTCCTATTGATTGTGATTTTCTGTGCACCAAATGACGTGATTTGACGCCACCAATATGGTAATCAGGATAATTTTTTTCCTGGAATTTTAATATGAAATGTAAGATTTTTTTTATCAGCAACATGTTTAGTCTTCTACATAGGGAACGCACTTTGTTAAGCAAGGATTGTGCAACCGTAACAAATGGTTTGTCTTTTTTTATTGATAAACAGTAACAACACCTGAGAAGAGTCACAAATTTACATAAAAATCGATTGGAACGTAAAAGAAGAAATGAATAATTAAAATCCGTTTTTAATGTAGGAGTGGATGTGGTTAAATAATTAAGGCTAACGAACAAATAATTGGCTTCAGCCAACGATTGCATTTATACTCCAAAGATTCTTTTTGTATTTATGATTTCTTCACCTCCAACCTTTTTTGTTGTTTTACTTCATTTTAACAGTGAACTGAATTTGGACTGAAACATCAGTTGAAGAAAGAAAACTCATATTTATAAAAATAAGAAGTATGTAGTATGCTTACAAAGGCGCCAACTATTGACCAGAGTCAATATGACGTTGATATATGCAACTATAATAGGTCATCGTACGATCTTTAACAATGAGCAAAACCCAAAATGCACCGACATAGCAATACTTGAAACAATTCAAACGAGGAAACAAGCTGTCTGATTTATGACAAAACAATAAACGAAAAACAAATAGGCAAATAGCAACAAAAGGCGGAAATAAATTACAGCTCCAGACAGCAACCAAAGGCGGAAGTAAATTACAGCTCCAGACAGCAACCAAAGGCGGAAGTAAATTACAGCTCCAGACAGTAATCAAAGGCGGAAGTAAATTACAGCTCCAGACAGAGCTAGGACCGACATCATTAGTGCGTCTGTCGCCGCTTTGCACTAGGTACCCTGATAAGATGTCCATTCAATTTATCATTGCAAGAGTTCTTAGGCA